CTATCCATGGCATGCCAGGCACTGCCGAGTACTCCATGCTATTCCCTATAGATTCCCCATTTCAAATGTGGATTTTCCACTGGGATTTTTATCCAAATCATCTTCAAAGGCATGAGGATTCATGAGGTTTATACTAACCTTGGCGAAATTGGGTATCTTCGGCTTTTGTTGATGTACGTTTGGTTTGCCACGTTGTCAAGTGTTGAAAGTCGTGGACTTTGCCTGGAACATCCTTGAAGCCCTTGAGAGAAGAGCGGAAACACGCCGACTGATGGGTTCAAAGAGCTCAATATGTGATGCTGCTGAAGTTTGTTTTCCGCAAAGGGTTTCAAACTAGGGAGCAGAATTGAACATGTCTGACACACATGGATACACATGGTGCAACATGTAAGACATGATACTCATATGCATCTCCACGTGATTATGTCATGCATATGTGGGTTATGTGAATGCAGAGCACTCACAACATACATCTGCATCTACAATCTAATTTTCACCTGAAGTAAGAAACACCTCTTATAGTTCCCAGATGTTCCCAGTTTCTGAGCGAGAACTTACACATGGCCCCATCATCCGGCTCCAACCACGTGTTCTGAACGGGGGACTGGGGTACTGAATGATCTCATTACCTTCTGGTCTAACCACCTTGGCATATTGGGGTTTCTTACACTAGAAATGATCCAAGTTAGTGGTCATAAATGTTCATCATTTCAGGAGAAAAACCAATGGTGACTTGGGGTAGCCTAGTTTTTGAAACCACCCTTTCAGGAAAAGGGCAATTTTCAATAGCAAAGCGTTAGTTTACCAGGCCGGGTATATCCCATTCATATCCCATTGAATCACTATAAAGTCCCATTAAATCCCATTAAAGTCCCATTAAATCCCATTAAAGTCCCTATAAATCCCATTAAGTCTCCACCATATCCCAAGTCTCGACACCGTGCGCCCAGGGCGCCCCATGCGCCCACCTTTTTGGTCGCGTCAGAAGGCGCCTTGGGGCTGCTCCGGTGAAAGCAGCTCGCCCCGCTGGAGCCTCGTGGTGGCCGTGCTGGGAGTTTCCAGGGCGGGTTTTTTTTCGGGGTGCATCTTATAGGTTTTACTAAAAATAGATGTGCATCCGTATCCGTTCATTTATATGATTATATATATATATATATGATTATATATATGATTATATATATGATTATATATATGATTATATATATGATTATATATATGATTATATATATATATATATTTATGTGTGTATGTGTTATACATATCTGTCATTGAGAGCTTCAGCCCACTTAGACTTGACTTAGGTTGGTCAAGTGGCACCATCTTTTCAGTATATCTATGCTCACCAGGACACAACGTCAGCTGGGGATGGCTACCCGCTATTCACCTGTCGAGTTGCCGCAATTTCCGGAGGGTTCTCCACTGCTAAAGATTTCAATGCAGAGTATCCATCTATTTTAATTAGCCATATTTATCCATCTATTTTATCTACTACTGCCTGGAACGACTGGTATCCCACTTTTGCTGGGTGTTGCCTATTATATCTATATATATATATATAAAGTTGTTACTATTAACCTGGTTCATATTTAAGTTACTATACTATACTATACTACAACCTGATTCCATACAAGTAATACATATATTAATATCATTTAATATCTATGCCCCTGCCCCAGTAGCGTGCCAGTCACCAGTCGCCATCTCCCCATCGGATTCCGTCAAGAAACAGGGTCAAGCCGTGACGAAAGACCCGCCGGGAGTGGAAGTGGAGCGGCCGGAACTCGGGCCACTTCCTGACCACCTCGGGCCGCCGAAAGGGCCATGACGGCCATGGACGCCATGGATTTGGCGGTCCGTTTTTTCAGGTCGAAAATGGCGCCAGGATTGACCCTGAATGTTCCAGAAATATGGAGTTCATGATCACTTTAGGTACATGAGTTGCCACTATAACATACTATAACAGTAAAGTTCAAATACCATCACCAGGTAGATTGTGAGCAGGTCATTTTGTTGCAGTGTGAAAGTCTCAATTAATTTCCTGTGGTTCAGAGCACTTGAGTACGTTGCATGAGTAGGTCTTTACGGTTCTATCTTTTGGGGGGTTGCTCTACGGCATTATATATGGCTATTATATGGCATGTGTAGTTCATGGGTATATTTTGATGGGACAAAAACAATGTAACAACATGTAACAACCAACAAATCAGGGGGATATTTCGTAAGGTCAACAAAAATCAATCAGTGCAACCAGCAAAATGAATTCAAGCACCAAACGTTTGTATCTTTCTTAAGTACCCTCTGGCAACCAAACATGGCGTCCTGGACAGTTCCACAATGTTCCACATTTCTGGATGGTTCTCCCATTTAAATGACCATCGAATTCGGAGATTTCCCAGCTAGCCATGTTCGATTCCCGAAGGGTTTAACAGTAATCGACCAACAAAGGAGGGGGTTGAAATCCACCCGAGGATGTGATTCAGGGATACCCGAGGATGTAATTTCTTACGTAGCTATGGAAGCCATGGCCCATAGAAAGTTCGATGATTTATAAGGATTCATCTATTAAACATCGTCATTTTCCATAGCTATATTAAATAAGCAGACGGTCATTGGATATAATTGGATAGAATTGGATATAATATGGAAAATCATGGGATCAATATCCAACAAGATGATGTTTAAATCTCAACCGGTCAATGGATTATCTACAGGAAATCACGGTGTAGACATGTTCACGTTTAAACCTTGAAATATTGGGGGGTGGTTCTTTTGGCGACTGATGCTTAACCAAACCACCCAAGGAGATGAATCGTTTAAGAGAGAAGGGCTTGACAAATTATTTCTCAACCTTGGATTTGCTTCAAGGAACTTACACAAAAAAACACACATATTCCCTATAGATTCCCCAGCCACGGTGTCTGTCCCATTATATTTTAGTAAAAACATTCATGATCATCTTAAACAAACTCATGCCACACATTTTGGCACCGTGGCACCTTGGAGCCCTCCAACAATATAATCGTGTTTTGTGTTGGTTGATATTATTAGTGTGCTTCTGCGATTCCATAGCACAACCCAAAGCATCAATGAGTCAATTGTTGATCATTGGCTAAAATATACTAAAATCACACATGCGGACAAATGAACTGGACGTATTGGACAGCGGAATACATCCATGCTTATGTCCGATCCTCCTGCAAAACATGCGTGTATATATTATATATATATATAATGAACATATGTATACAATAGGTCCAAGAGGTAGTCATGTCCGTTTGTGCCAAAAAGAGCATGACACTATCGTCTATGATGTATATATCTATATTCTATATAATTACTATATACTAAAGTGCAAATCATCTTTAGAAATGATGGATGTTCCATATTTCCGTCAGTTTACTGAAGGTTATACATCCATATGTTTTTCATATCATATATATAACCTACGTTCGTAGCTCCGTCTTCTTGGTCGCCCATTGCTGGCGCCTCGGCGACGAAGCGTCGTTCCGAAGGCCGGTGGGCACGGCCCAGGCAGAAGCCCTGAAGATCCGACATACCTGGGCAGCTGCGACCATGGAAAACCCATAGGAAAACCCATTGGATTTGGATGTTTTAAACCGAAGGTTTGGTTGGAGATGTTTTAATATGGGTTGTATTAGCATAGTTGGTATAGGTGTGATGTTCAAAACAACGGTTTAATGATAGTTTTTTGCAAGTACATCTTCTCTTCCAGTGATTCAGTGGACTTGCGAGCGCTAAAACATGCCTCATGGTTGAGGCGAAAACAACTATGGTTGAGAATCATCTCCTGTGATGATAGCACAATTATGACCGCCCAATTCATACATGTATATGTATATGTATGTATTACATAGATTTATTTGACTATGTATATATATATATGTATGTATGTATGTCATATGTCTGTGTGCACGTGTGTGTTTATACATAATATTTATAATTAAAAATGTTTTATACATGCATGTCCCTCTTGCCGTTGCCGCTTCAAAGCCATAGTTATCTTACATGTTAAAAGCCAGCCGAAATGAAATGCTTGTTTTCATGATCTTCAATGTGCTCTAAATCAGCTCATCCCCGCCTTCGCAGCCGTTAAAGCGTAGGCCTCAGCGGCTACGCGCTTGCTGGAGAGCTGGAGATGTGGTGTGGCATGGTATGGCCCTGGTCGTCAATTCCATAGTGGGAATCCTTATCGCCGATAATAATGAATATGTTATAGTACATATTCAAATAACGTTCATCCCTATTGAAGAATTGATGACCAGTTCCAAATATTGGCAACTTATGCATGTTTTGACAATGGCGCATATGTTTTTTCATGGCTTGCCATGCCTTCCGTCCTTGTGGGTTAATCCATAAATAGCCTCTGGAAATCAAACATGGTTTGCTGGAAAACCCACCATTTAGTTCCTTGCTGTTCTTTCCCAGCTTGCCATGTTTGATTTTCCACTGGAGGGTAAGGGCAGGTCGGGCCTAAAACATATGTCTAAAAAGGATCCTCCTGGGATATTTTTTGATGTTACTGACTGGTCAATCATGGTTCTTTTTAAACGCTTTTGTAAGTGCCCTTTTTTAAGTGGAATCTATTGCAAGCTCCCCCAGTTACTCACTAGTTTACTGATGGGAATTGCTGGTAGCTGGTAGCCAACACTGAGCAGTTTTTGGGGCCGCCCTTTTTGGTTGTCCGGCTCCTCTTGGCGGAACCTGCTACAGCGGGCTGGCTTTGGTACATGGAGAGAATCTGATCCGCCGTCGTCGCTTGCCTGCAAATGCTGCAGAAAGGATTCATCAAAATGGCAGTTGTTTTAGATAATGGCCCCAAAGAAAGGAAAAGCACTGAAAAAGTGTGGCGAAATGTGACGAACAATATCTTGTGACATGATATATAGTTATTGCTTGTGCAATCTTATATGTATGCGTGTGTCAGTGTGCATGCATTTCCCATCTTCTATGTGCATGACATGTACAACGTCGCGTTATTGTTGATATCAGCGGTTCTAAGAAAAAAAACGCATATCCCAGCGCATTCCACGAGAATGATGACCTTTCCAAAAGTGCCATGGTATCAAGACATGACATTCTAAACTCACACAATTGGTTTCAGGTAGAATTGCAAGAAACACAAATACAACCATGCTTTCTGTGAACGCTTCCGTTGACATTCCTTTAACTCAGTGCAGCATGCCATTCTCTTATCTTCCATGGTTGCCCTCGCCCTGTTGCCGCCTAGGAGTCTTATCCCGTCGTACCCGCAGCACGCGAGGAAAGCGCAAACCCAGGCCACGACTAGGATCCTCCGCAGGATCTTTAGGGAAGGCAGGATCCCTCATGATCCGCAAGAACCTCTATGTGCACGTAGTCAAACCTGCTATATTTGCTATGGTCATCCTACCATCATTCCGGGAGTTTTTATTTTTTGGAGGTATTGACAATATTAAACCCATTCATGGATTGATGACCATCCCCTTTGGAAAATTAATCAACGTTTTGACCATGGCATACATGACTACCCTCTGGTAATGCAAATAGTTATGGAAGATTCCCCTTTGAGCTCGATGATTTTCCAAGCCATAAACCTCCATGGCTAGTGCGTGGATTTTCCGTAGCTATGTTAAATACGCAGTGGGTATAAAGTCATCAATGGAGTTTTGTAGCTGGTACGCCAATTACAGGGTGACATCCCCTTATAAATGGGTTGTTAATGGGCTATAACAACTTTTGCTAAACCCTCAAGTTATCATGAATTATATATATATAAGTATATCTCTTATGATGCATTATCTTCTAATGGGTTTAATGAATTGTATCCCCCTCTAAATTGGTGATGGGCTATAACATGCTATAACCCACTTCTTAACCAGTTAGCCTTGTTGACTAGCTTCATGGTCCATAGCATCTAAGTATATCTAAGATTATCATAGATTATCATGTTTCATGTCTTATCTTTTATAGCAAGCCCAAGAAATTCAGCTGAATTTGGTGTCAAACAACATCCGATACGTAGGTCCGACTTTTCGGCATCGGACCATGGTATACTTGGATATGCCATGGTACACTTAGATAAGTATCTTTTTATATCTCCATTCTAAGTTTCTAAGTGTGTCTAGGTAGTTGATGGGATCCACATAAGTATATCTAAGTCCTAAGTAGTTCCAAGTATTTCAGAAATCGTCTGGACCATGGTATGCTTTTATATCTAAACATACTGTAGCATATCATATAATATGATATATGTATCTATATATATATATCATATTATATATATAAAGTAGTTTCAAGTATTTCATATCTTCCGGACCATGGTAATATCTAAATATACTTTGCTCATATTATATCCCCATACTTATACTAGAATATTTAAGTGTTTCAGAAATCTTCTGGACCATGGTATACTTATATATTATATATCTAAATATACTAGTACATCATATATAGATATATATATATACACCACATATGTATATATATGATATATATATACCACATATATATCATATAATTAATTATCCTCTTCATAATTGGCTAAAAATCAACGTTTTTTCAGAAAACGAAGACTTCGGAGCGGCCTCCAACGAGCCCAGGGCGCAGGAATGGATCGTGGAGGTGGTGAGGTCCGCACCGGTGATCTCCTCAGATCTTTGGTTTAAGGGAAAATTTACAGGAAAAAAACTCATATTTAATGGGAAAAAAAAAACTATTTTAACGGGAAAAGAAAACATATTTAATGGGAAATCATATTTACAAGAAAATCTATGGGGAAAAAACTCATATTTCATGAGAAAATAAATGGGAAAACCAAGAAAATTGACAGGAACAACTTATATTTGATGGGACCAATCCATGGACCCAAGTAATGATGATATAAATTACTATTCACAATGACTATGATTATATCATAGTATATCAGTATATCAATATTATATCAGATAACTATGGCATGATTTTTTTGGATGATAACTATGGATAATATCCATAGTTATCATCCAAGATTATGGGAAAACTGCCAACATTACGCAAAACTGTGGATATGATATTATTTAAATATCATCAGCTAAGATATTTAAAAATTTTACCCAACTGACCTGTCTTGGGGCCCCACATTAAATACAAAAAGCTGATGACCACTTCTTGCTGAGATTGCCATCCCCAAATGTATGTTGGTAAGTAGGTTGATTTATAGCTAGTTTAAGACTTGTGATACCCATGGTGGATACATCTACAGTATCTACAGTTGGACCGGTGGAAATGATCCAACTTGCCAACCTTGCTTTGGATCTGAACATGTTTTCCACGTTCTTTTGGTCGGATACAGTGTATTATGACTGGTGTTTACCCATCTAAACCCAAAAGGGCTAAAAGTCCACGAATCGCCTGCATCCCAAAACACTTCTACCATCAAGTTCTCCAAAAGTTCCCCAAAAAGTTATATCCATCATAGTCTGGGAGAACTTTTTGTATTTCTCTCCCCTCTCCGGGAGTTCAGCATCTGAAGGCGAGCCAAGGACAGCTGGGCAGTTCAACGGCCAAGCTCAGTTTGCTAGTATAACCATAATTAGTCTCTCACTTTTCACTTTCACTGCGCTCAAAAGGTCTAAACCCTTTGCAGCACTTGCACCATTCTCTAATCAGATACCTACCGAGGTTGTGGCATCGGCTCTAGTGAATCTATTCTGGTTGGTGGTTTCAATCCCTCTGAAAAATATGAGTTCGTCAGTTGGGATGATATTATTATTCCCAATATCATGGGAAAGTCATATAAAAGTCCATGGTTCCAAAGCACCAACCAGATTTTTCCAGTACTCATGAACCCAATCAAAAAAAAACAAGGACCCAGCTTCCATAGCAATGGATTGGTTTAAGGGAAAATCTTAAAAAAACAAAAAAATGGCTTTCCTGTAAATTTTCCCAACAAAACCAATCCATAGCAGCCATAGCATTAGTCTCTCCCTCTAGGGGGAAAAAACCACTGGGCCACTGGGCCATCTTCGGAACCCAGGTTCCATCACAGGGGCCTTCTTGATGTCCGAGATCCAAAGCCACCTTGGCGCTACCGGATTAAAGCCACAGATTTTTGGGCGGCCACAACGGTAATAAACGAAAAAAATACACCATGATGGATATTATATGACATGATGATATGAGAAATTATGAGAATAATATGTATATATATATATATAGTACACTATAGAAATATATGGAAAGATATATGCTATTGAATTGTGAATGTTACATTATGATAGATACAACATTGGATAATAATGAGACATGGGATGTTGATATACTGACATAATTAAGAGTCAAGCAATATCGATAATGGTTATAGATAATCATTGCCGAGGTATAACGGATCACAACTGGGATACTGATTGTAATAAGGTGTAAGGATAAACTGTAATTGCATGCGCAGTGGAAGTATAACTATACACCGAGTTGAGGTATACTGAGATATGATTGGTTTACCGTGTACAGCAAAGCTATATAAATTATATAAAACTCACAAGTATTACCCTTGGGTAAACTAAAATAACTACGGAAAATCGCAATTTTTAATGGGAAAACTCACTATAAATGGCCATTTTCAATAGCTATGTTAAATTACCAGAGGGTAATGATGGATACATGATATGATCAGAAAAGAATAGGTGGTGATCATCAGGTGTGATTCTTGGGATGTCCAAAATGACCAATCATACCGGACACCAGGGTTAAGGGGCCCATGCCCACATTGCAAGAATGGACTTACACAACAAGGGAATATGGAGATGATCAAGATATTACGCGAAGAAATGAGACTCATATATATATATGTGTGTGTGTGAATAATATGTATAGATATATTGCATGTAAGTATAAACTAATATTACATATAAATATAAATCAACTATACATGTCAATATATACATATATATATAGAGACTCAACGACCAAGTGTGCATCACCAGCACACACGGTTTTATCACGGTTGCGCTAAGATGCCGTGCAAGACACAAAGAAGAATGAGAATGGTCACCATCAAATAAGTAATGTGAATGATATTATCCCAGATCTAAATAGAATTGGTTAGTGGGGAAAAAATGACGAACACCGAAATAACAAGCATGTTTCTTCAACAAAATCTGCGACATAAACTGCCCTAAAATCTCATGTTTGACCCTGCGATGTTCCATTGAAACAGCAAAAACATAGTGCTTATATGTTTTTGTTAATTCACATCATTTCAAACCAATCCATTGAAACGGTGAGTTTAGATTTCTATCATTTTTCATGGTTCCAAAAAAGTGGCTTTCGCCACAGGAATTGCGTTGTGACTCGCCACGGGCTCAAGAATTTGGTGGTCTGCAAGTTTTCGGGAATGGCGTCATCGTCGCGCACCAGGGATTGGCAAAGGGTGTAGTACTCTTTCAGATCCTGCAACGACGAAGTCATAGCAAGCCATTGTAAGTAACCCCCCAAGAATCCAGAAAGTAAAATCCAGAAACAGTGATCATTTGACTGTTTCTTTTTTGGGGGGGTAGATGCTTGTTGGTTCGAGGACACTTCTAATCACAAATCATTATTTAGGGTTCTTCATTTATTATAATCTTTATTTTGGTAACAGTTTCTTCATTATTTTTGGGGCTACAAAGCCAATGAATCACACTTTAAAAATCTCCAGGACACCGGTCCTCATCACTCAGACCGGTCCCGACCGCGCAGAGGGTCTGGAACCGACCGCGCCCTTTGCTGCTCCTGGAGGGTTCGGAAGTCCTGGGTAGATGGGCAATCCCATCCAATAGTTCCCAACTGGTGCAGGGCTTTGTTCATCAGGATGTAATGATAAGGGCATCTAGAAAATAAATGAACATGATGCATATAAACATATATATATATATATACATACTCACTATAATGATATAAAATATACTAATATAAACTATCATAAAATACTATCTTGATCCCACCAGCCGGGCTGGGATCTGCTTGTGTTACCGGTCTCTTTTACAGTACCTCTCAATGTTTGTGAGATGAGCCGACGCGGTGTCCCATCCCCCTGCGATACCATGGTGAATGTGGGGGGTTCAATATTAAGGGGATGTGATTACCCTCTTGGAAACTAACATAACTATGGAAAATCACCATTTTTAATGAGTTTTTATGGGTAAATCCACTATTTCTATGGCAATTTTCAATAGCAAACTGTTAGTTTACCAGAGGGTAATTATAGTTGCTGAGTCATAAACCCCAACTGCAGTATATCCCCATCAATATCCCATTAAAAGAAAAATAGAGGTTAAAGCCACCATGAAACCACTATTCACTATATAACAAACAATAAAAGGAATACTGCTATAATCATGGGGGTTGACCATTAATAATATGAACCAATATCATGGTTGCAAATTCCAATAAAACTAATAATATGAACTAATACTCAACTATGATTATGTTGATTGACTATCATTCTATCATTACAATCATACTATTATTAAAACCATTACTCTTATAGTGTACAGTACTATTAATCTCGCACTACATCATCATTTTTCATGGCTAGTAACATGTTATGATAATAGTGGTTAACCACCATAGTCAAAACGAATTGCTATAACTGATCAACCATGACTGATCGGAATAATTAATACTACTATAATAATCAATAGTTAATAGTATATAACCAGTCATGAATACTCATTGATAACATAATACAGACTATAGCTGGTGAGTTATACATATATATGTAAAGTTTATCGCCCAAGTATATAAATCATATTGAATTACTAGTTTTGATCCTATGGTTGCTTGATAATTAGTTCTTACTATAATTATACTATAGTCAGGGGTTATGGCATGATATGTTCATAGTTATCACTGTAATCAACCATTCATAATCTAATATTGTCCCATGGTTACTATAGTTGGTGAGGTGTAAACCATTATATATATATACAGTAGTATAGGTATACATATACATACATATATTCGTATATATATATAATCATATACATACATATATATATATATTTATTTATTTATTTATATACATCCAGATTCATCACCCATTAAACCCCTATTTTTTCGTGGTTCAAAATATGATACGACAATCATGGTTAATCCGAAGTTAAGCCCCGGAATCATAGGTATGACTCGTATGACATGGTATTCCTATGATTGCTTCCCCTCTGGTAATTTAACGTAGCTATGAAAATGGCCATTTATAGTGGATTTTCCCATTGAAAATGGTGATTTTCCATAGTTATGTTAGTTTACCAGAGGGTAATCAACCATGAATACTCCATGAATTCCCATAGCCCGCCTCACCGCCAGCAGGAAGGAGCCATAGACTCCGCTGCGTCGGCCTTTGCCGCGGCGCACGCCTACCACCACGCCGTCCACGGAATCGCCTCTGCCGAGAGCTTTCTGTGTACATCTCTCTACATCTAATCCACCTTAGCTGAATGTGTGTAACCTTATGTTCATGGACAATCATTGATATACTATGTATATATATATATATACATATTTCTAATATCTTTTTATGTCCATATGTAATCCCCTCTCCATAATATCAAACACTACCCCCAAAACCATGGTTTAGTAGGGATTTACTCATATTTAGGAAGATTTAAGGGGTGTTTAATAGGGATATGTGTGCGTGTACATCACATGATCTTTTCGATGATATACCCAGGCTCCCACTTCCAAGTCGCTGAGGCTGCTGTTCAGATAGTCCTGACGCAGTGACAATCAGACTGTATTAGAAACGATTCTTTCGTGAAAATGCTAAAGCAACGAAAATTGACCATGAACATTGCGAATTCATGCTATTTATATATATATATATTATATTGTATCATCTTAGATACCCTGCAAAAGATCGATTTTGACATTGGGTATTGGAATCCCACTTGCATAACTTTTTTTTTCAGGGTCGAAGTAGCCATCCAATGTTTCCCCCCAGTCGGTCGCTTGCTAGGTCTCCGAGTCTAAGAAGCAACACATGATCAACGGTTCATTCCATGTCTACTATTGCTCATGATTCAGCATATTTCCATGTTATTTCAGGGTTATATATTTCGGGGGGGGTCTGGGGAGGGGGGGGTGTTTTTTATGAATATATTATGAATATATTTTTTAGATTGTCCGTGAAACTGCTAGTAAACTCTCATGGTATTTCTCACATGTTATCCCGTGCCTCATCTTTCGGAATTTCTTTTTTTCTATATAGCTGTCTCTGTCTCTTTTGTGTTTCAAAATCTCACCTGTTTGTTGCTGAGCATGGGGCTCCCATGCTTTCCCAAATTAGATCATACATGTCCTCATCTTAATTTACTCTTCAGAGTAGCTCAAAAACAAAAACAGAAACAGGAGTTCCGAGGTCCCCAGGTCCTATAGATTGAAAAAAAGACCGAAAAAAATCTGGATGTGTTTACCCATCTTAACTCTATCCAGAATCCAGACATTGCGAAACTCTTCAACTCCAAAAGTTCCAAGGTCTGGTCCTTCTTCAACTTCAACCACTCCGCCGTTCGGATCCCGGGCCTCTGTCGTTGGATCATGTTGGGAACCAAAAAAACTTGTGTCCTCTCAGAAACCAAATTCTTAGCCAACCTGCGGCGTGCCCGTCGCGGCGCCGCGGCCGGACCCTCTGGCATGACGGCAGAGCACTTGCGGGTCCTGCTTGATGCGGACGCTGACGCTCATCTCCTCTACCTCGCGGCCCAACAACTCGCCACTGCCACCCTCCCCGCCCCCATCCTGGCAGGGCTCAGGCTTGGCCGCTTGGTCGCACTCCGCAAGCCCGATGGCGGTGTGCGCGGGCTAGTCACGGGGGACACCTTCCGGCGCTTGATCGCCCGCACCCTGGCGCAACAATTTGCGGCTGCATTCGAGGCAGCATGCTTGCCGTATCAGTACGCCTTGAGCACCCGCGCGGGGGCCGAGGCCTTGGCACGCACCCCCGCTTAGCGACGGAAGCCGACCCGCGCGCCACCCTCCTGAGCGTCGACGGGGTCGGGGCGTATGACCATGTCTCGCGACAGGCCATGCTGACCGCCATGGCCACCAACCCCACCACTGCCGCCAATTGCTTCCCTTAACACGATCCTTCTACGGCGCCCCGTCCGAATATGTCTGGTACGACCAGTCCTTGACCCCCCACACTATTCACCAAGGGGATGGTGGTGAACAGGGCGACCCGCTCATGCCCGCCCTTTTCAGCCTCACCCTCCACAGCGCGCTCCAAGCCATTTCCCGCCACCTCCAACCCGAAGAAGCCCTTTTGGCATACCTCGACGACCTCTACGTCATTTCCGCCCCCGCCAGAACCGTTCCCATTTTCCACCTCCTCGAAACCCACCTCCGCGCGCATGCAGGCATCAGCCTACACCTTGGAAAAACTCGGATTTGGAACGCAGCTGGGGAAGACGCCCACACCCTACAACCAGCTGCGCAGGCCGAGCCAATCTGGACCGGGGCATGGACCCTCCCGGCAGCCGAACAAGGGCTGAAGGCCCTCGGCACGCCCATTGGCCACCCGGACTACGTCGCAGCGGCTTTGACGGCTAAACGCGCCTCACATGACCGTTTGCTCGACGCCATCCCTTCCGTGTCCGACACGCAGGTCGCTTTCCTTCTGCTGCTCCAGTGCGCTTGCCCCCGGGCCAATTACCTCTTGCGCGTCCTTCCGCCTTCCCAAACCGACGCATTCGCACAGGCGCACGCCTGGGGAGCCATTTGGACTCGAAAAACAAGGCCGGAGGCCGTTTGAGTCATTTGGCCTTAAAAAGGGGATTTGGCCTCGAAAATGGATTTGGCCCCGTGAAAACGTGAAAACACGAAACTCCACACCAGGGAGCGTGAAAATCATGAAAAACGTGAAATTTCACACCCCGGAGTGTGAAAACGCGAAAAACTTGAAAATTCACATCTGCAAGCGTGAAAATCACCAAAATCCACACCAGCGATCGTGACCGCGTGACCATTCGCACTGGGAAGCACGAAAATCACAAAGAGCGTGAAAATTCACGTCTTGGACCGTGAAAAGCGTGAAAGGCGTGAAAAACATGTAAAATCACATCTTGTAGCGTGAAAATCATGAAAAGCCACGCCGTGAATGCGAAAACACGAAATTCACACCCGGAAGCGTGAAAATCATGAAACACGTGAAAATTGACACCTGCCTTGGAAATCGTGCGAAAATGAAAAAAATCAACGTTGTTCTTCGCCGGGCCAACATACCCTGTAATAGCTAGCGTCAGTGGTCCAATATGAGCCAGCGCTCTGATTCAACAAGTCCCTGCACGCATTTTGCCCACAGCTTCTCCAGATCGAGGCCCGAAACCGCGGAAACACAGATCCTATAACTGCCTCCCAGAGTTTCCGACGGATGTCACGGACCTGGAATTGTTCAGAAAGTTCTGCTTGCCGTTAGGCGATCTTTGGGATGAAGCTGCTTGGTTTCGAGCACTGGGGAAATCATCGTGCCTTTCCATGTGCAGGTTTTAAAAACGATTGTGGGTGTAGCTTCTTGCAATTCCAATGTGAGAACAAAATGAATGTGATCCCGTCCCTTTCATGAGGCTGATTTGTGGTCTGTGGCAGTTTACTTGGCCCGTTCAAAGTATATGGTCATACCTGAAGGATGGGAAACTTGTCATTACTTTTCACGGTTTTGTTTTCCTACCAATTCTGTAGAATACCCCATATTTTACTTCTTCTTGTGAAACCATGCGAACCCTGCCGAGGAAGATGTACTGAAAGAATTGAAGCTCCGCTAGATCCACTTTTCACCTGACCCATGCGATGCGCATGGCGCTTTCATACCTCTAACTATTTTCATATGGGGTGTCGAACCTGAACTCGTGGGCTTGATTGAGACAAACTTGCCACAATGGGCCTGTTTATTTCGCACATGTTCTGTTTTCTGCAGAATTTGTATCATTTGTAATGATCGCCAAGCGACCAAAAAAATGATAGCGTGAAAAACGTGAAAATGAAAAATGACCAAAGCTGCCCGAGAAATCACGAAAATCAAGGAAAAATCGAAAAAATCACGAAATCAAAGCTGCGAAAACCACCAAGGCGAAAATCACGAAAAACGCGAAAAACACGAAAATCGCGAAAAACACGAAAAACGCGAAATAAACACGAAAAACGCGCTAATGGCCACGAAAAGCGCGCCAACGGCCCCGAAAAAGCACGAACAACGCGAATTTTCAAAAATGCATACCAGAAGCCACAGAAAACGCGCGCGAAAATGTCCGAGGTTGCCCGGAAAAAGACATATTCCCTGGAAAACATATGTTTTTTTTTGGTTGTGTCTACCGTTGACCTCGAGATTAGTTGCTGTGTTGTTATTTAAACAAAATGGCCCATGCCATAAAGGAAATATTGCATCTTTCCTGAAAACAGAGATAACTCCAGCAGCTGCACTGCCATGCTGTTAACTGAGCCAGCCTGGGCATCCAAGAGAATTTGCATATGGTTTGATGAGCCAATAGAGTTTTAGGATGTTTTAGGACATTTCTCAATTTGTTTTCCTTTCATGCTTTGTTTGCGTCATTATCCCACGCCAACATCTAGGTGTTCATACAGCATTATAACCATAGTTTATATTTCAAATTTAGTTGTGGAAGAATATCATTACAAGATCCCAAAGACATAGATATATTCACCAGAAGGATTTTAGTTTGAAAACTTCCGAGTTATGGACGATGTCCAAGGGCACTCCTATGTCAACCGCGAAGTGAGCAAAAGCAGTTTGAGTGTGGGAGTAGCGGAGGGTAACAGAATTCGTGAGCGCGTGAATTCCGGGTGAAAACGCTTTTGGGCGCGGACCCTGTGTTTTTCCGGGTACCGTGGCTTCTGGGGTCGCCGAAGTAGGGTTTCTGTTTCTGCGGTTGACACCTGAAAAATTTTGAGCGCGGCGAAAGCCGTGAGAACCGTGGAAATTCGCACCGAGGAGCGTGAAAATCACGAAAAACGTGAAAATTCACACCCTGGACGGTGAAAAACGTGAAAACGTGAAATTTCACACCCTGGAGCGTGAAAATCACGAAAAACGTGAAAATTCACACCCTGGACCGTGAAAAACGTGAAAACGTGAAAATTCACATCCTGGAGCGTGAAAAACGTGAAAATTCACATCTGCAAGCGTGAAAACACCATATGGCTTCGAAAAAGTGATTTGGACTCCGAAATGCAAAAACAAGGTCCTGGGCGATATGGCCTCGGTTTTCGAAGCCGAATGGTTGCCTAGGTACTGCCATCGCCGCGTGCCTTGCCCGCATCCTCACCGACGGAACACCCCTTCCCCTCCCAGCCCAACAGCGCGCCCGCCTCGCCCTCGCCGCCGGCGGCCTCGGCTTACGATCGGCTCATGCTAGCCGCCAGGCAGCATATTGGGCATCCTGGGCCGACAGCCTTCCCGCCATTCACCGACGGCTCCCGGCCGCGGCAGACAGGATCCTCCACCTCTTGCGCGGTGAAGTGCGCCCCCTCCCACCAGCTGTCATAGAAGCAACACAAGCGACCCATGCCCTTCGCGCCCACGGCTTCCAACCCCCCGCATGGGACACCCTCACCTTGCCGGGCCCCCCGCAGCCCCTCCCCCGTGACGCTGGAGACTACCACCGTGGGTGGCAACGCCTCGCCAGCACAGCCCAAGACCGCAACGAGCTGGCCGCGCTCCTTTCTGACCTGGACCCTTCCTCGCGCGCGCTCTTGCATTCCCAGGCTGGTCCCTATGCGAGTCGCACCCGTGTACCCTACGAATCCCGAGTACACCCTGTCGCCAGAGCATTTCCGCGCGTGCCTCCTGCGCCGCCTCCGCTTACCCCTCCCCTTCACCAACCACCGCTGCAGTTGCGGCGGTGCCCTTGACCCTTTGGGAGACCATCGCGCCGCCTGTGCCACCTCCGGATTCCTCCGCATCCGGTCCATCCCCATGGAACGCGCCGTGGCCAGGATATGCCGCGAAGCAGGGGGCCGTGTCCGTACAAACGTCCTCCTGCGGGACATGACAAACCTCCCCTGTCCTCCCCCGGACGCACGCGCGATTGAAGTCCTCGTCAGCGGAGTGCCGCTGTGGCACGGCGCGCAGATCGCAATCGACGCTACCTTGGTGAGCCCCATCCACCGCAACGGTGAACCCCGCCCCAGAGCCGCCAGTGAACCCGGCGTCACACTCAACCAAGCCGCGCGCCGAAAACGCACCCAGACCTACCCTGAATTCCAATCCAGCACTCGCTGCCGTCTCGCAGTGTTTGGGTTGGAGGTAGGAGGCCGGTGGTCGCCCGAAGCCGTGCACCTCGTCCGGCACCTCGCCCGCGCACGCGCCCGCACCGAACCCACCTGGGCACGATCAACGGCAGCCGCCGCCTGGGCGCTGCGCTGGGCCGCGCTCGCATCCATTGCCGCCATGCGAGCGCTCGCAGCGAGCCTCCTGGACTTCCCTGCGCATGGCGAAGATGCAATGGACGGCCCACCCCCCCCCTCCCCCAGCTCCTCGCCGAAACCCGGTGGGAGGACCCCCCCTCACCCAGCCGCTTGCCCCCTTGACACAGTGTAAAGACCTATCGTTTCTGACGCGCGCCGGCGGATTTGGGTGGGAAGGGAAGAAAAAAAAACTGTAGGAGAAAATCATGGGATGGTCGATTTGAACTACCAAAAACCGTGATGTTTCCAGCTAGAAAAGTTTGTTTTATTCTGATTCAACCCTGAAACTTGATTTAACGATGAAAAGTGGTGATATCACGGTGGACACATTGGATGCAGCATGTTTTGATCCGAAAAACATGGGAACTGTGACAACAAAAAAAGTGTTTCAATGGATTGATTTCAATGTGGCCACTTCACTCTTCCGAGATTCCCTGATTTTCATTAACATACCCACGGATCTCCATGGTGTTTCCCCCTCTTTCACTGGTTTTGGACGGTTTTGGCGGCTTTTCCCCGCTTTTTTCCGGCCGGTGCCGCCAAGGAACTCATAGGGCGCGGCCAAATTCTTCAGCATCAGCCCCTCTGTGGACGCATTGATGGCAGAGGAAAGGACCTTCCTGGGATCCAATGGGCCAGGGGCCAGCAAGGGGCAGCACGTGCTTCAGATCCTGTTGGACAACATTTGACAACTCAGGTAACTCCATGTAACTCCATGTATATGCCACATAAATGTGTTATTTAGATGTTATAACATGGAAAAATTACCAGCTAACTGGGATATACTGGGATGCATATCCAAGTAATTACTCATCAATTCCTTCCTTGTCGGGAAAATCCAGGCTGCACCTTTGAGCCTTCAAAGGAGGATGACACAAGGAAGCGTCTTGCCGCATATTTGCAGGCTCAAATTGGACCTTGAAGGAGCAATATCACTTTCCCTTCGGATCCCTTCGGATCCCTTCGGATCCCTTCGGATCCCTTCGGATCCCTTCGGATCCCTTCGGATCCCTTCGGATCCCTTCGGATCCCTTCGGATCCCTTCGGATCCCTTCGGATCCCTTCGGATCCCTTCGGATCCCTTCGGTAATCAAACATGGCTAGCTGGGAAAAACCCTCTAAATGGAATTTCCGTTGCCAGGTTTGATTACCAATGGATTTTGTTTCTTGATTCTTCCTCGTTCATGCCTGGTTGCCCCTGGATATGAAGTTTATAAACATAGCCTTGATTGGATCCATTCGCAACAAAAAATAACCTCAAAGCAGTCATTTTGATCTGTGATCATCTGTGTGTTTTCGAATCCCTTTCAGTTCTTTAACCCTCTCTATATAAGTTTCTTTTCGAAGATGTACAATTCTGAACTGGATTCGTTAACCCCGCCTTTTGTTATTGCTGCCTTTTTCACCCGCCATTCTGCATACCACAAAGCTTACCCCTACCCGCATCCCTTTACTGTGCATCTATATAATCCCCCTTTATACAGGCTACTGTAAATCCAGATTGCCATCGGTTTAACCACAATTTCTATAGGTGCAATCTCAATTTGCATCGGTTGAATCACAATTCCACAAGGTTCATTCTTTATTCTATACGTTACAGTAGGTCTCAATGTTTCTAGGCCATTCTCACAGGTCATCCAAAGATATGTGGATGTAGAGCTTACGTCCTCCAAATGTATTTTTTTTTACCCTCTGCAAAATGGGCCCCCCAAGTGGTTTTTTTTTACCATCTGGTTATTTAACATAGCCATGGAAAATCACCATTTTTAATAGGTAATCCATCTATAAATGGTCATTTTCAATAGCTATCTTAAATTACCAGAGGGTAGATGTTTTTAGCGAAACCCCCATGGAAATTGACGGCCAGGTTTCTGCAGCTGCAGTGGCGTGGTGAAGTTTTTTCCCTGCGCCAGTGCCAGTTGACCTTGACCGAGCGCCAGCTGGCTGGAGTTCCTTGGTACCGAGCCGTTCCAGAATCAGGATTCAAAATACCCTCTGGTAATTTAACATAGCTATTGAACATGACCATTTATAGTGGATTCTCCCAGCAAAAATGGTGATTTTCCATAGCTATGTTAGTTTACCAGAGGGAATTTCAAAATGAGTTCTTATGGATTTTTGACCATTGATACCAATGGTGATAGCTATGTTAGTTTACCAAAGTGTGCTCCGAAAAATCCGCCGAATCTGCGCACGAACCAAGGCGCAGCCGATCAAGGCGCTGCTGGAGACTCTGGTGTAGCAAGGACTCACCGTCCAAGAAGAGGCAGTCGAAGGCGAAGAAACGCACATCAGCCAAGTCATGTGCCTTCCAGATGATCTGTTTGGGTGATGATCTATGGGTATGGGCCACCTTCCAGATCCCAAAAAAAATAAATGATAATAGTTATGGATAGTTATGGGTCAAAATTGGGTCCAACAATTATCATTGATTATAGACTAGATGATGTATACAAAACATATACTAAAATATGTGGTCCCTAATTGGGCTTAAGGTTGTTGACTCATACCCATATGTCAGGATAAAAACCAATGGTTGTCTGTAGTTTTTTCCCTTCAACCAGTCAAGTCCATGGAAATATCTATGATCCAATATCTTATAATATGTTTCAATAAGATGTAATTGATGTAATGATAAAATGTGATACGTAGCAAGATTGAGATTCCTTTTTTGCAGCAACGAGACTGAAATAATAAAACGATCATGTAAATATCGCCCCAAGAATCGCCAAGTCAACATGGGTTTGATTTAAAATATTGGGATGTTCATGGTGGCTTTCCAGGCACAAATATATAGATAAATATTATCAAATATCATCGAATATCATCAAATCTCATCAAATATCATCAAATACGTACATATACATAGACATAATTATATATATATATGTGTGTGTATATGTATAATATATATAATGTATATATATATAATATATATAATGTATATATATGGATATATGGGTGTATATATATATATATGGAAACACACTCACATACACACAAGCACACAATAGCATTCTAAATACATAGCAACCTGGAGAATGCCAAGTTGGAACCTGGAGAATGTATGAAACCTCTGGAGATGCTGCATTTCAGCGGCCGTATTTACCCATGAATCAGCAAGTTAAATCATCTAATTGGTTTATCAAAGATCAGTCTATAGATCTATAGTAACATCTAATAATATCAAATAACGTATTACAATATATATCAATATGACATATATATATATATATACATACAATAATAAATCATATTACATAATACAATACAATACAACACAATAAAATACAATACAATACAATACTATTTGACAACATATAATAACATATATAGCATCAAGTACAGCAAACCATAACAGCATAGAATGACGTATGCTAATATATAGTAATACGAAATAATATGCTAATATAAAATAATATACAAATATATCAATTATAAAAATAGTAATAATAATAATAATAATAAAGAATAATTTTATAATAATAGCAATAATAAAAAAAAATATATATATATATGGCTATGAGTCAAAATTGTGTATGGAACGTTCCGCGCTGTTCCGGACGTATGGAACGAAGGGGTTTCGTAACTGGTCTTGTTCCGGACCTTTGGAATGTGATGAAGTAGAGGCTGTACATAAATATAAATATGTATACTGTATATATGTATAATATAGTGTATATAATATACATCTCGAGGATATGCACGTTGAAGCTACTACCGCTGGCCGCCGCTCATTTTCATTTCTCATCTGCGCGGCATCCTTGTTGTACACCTGTTCAACGCAGGTTTGCCTTGCATGGCTAGTGCTCCTGCACTAGCTAGGACTACTATGTGAAGCTGTCCACTCAGCTTGAGACCTGTCACGCAGGTCCCACCTCCTACTCTTAAAACTCAGAGGTCCCGGTCCGTATGGGGTAGATAGTGTCCCCGCGTAGCAAGACTCTAGGCTCCCAAATCCCACGCGCAAAGGATGGCTTAGGAGCAGTCTATGTGAGAACCTGCCATTTGTTCACCCGGAAGTGGGTCAGGGATGGTACATGGGTGGTCCGGGTCTGGAACGGGCATGGAACGGGTATGGAACGGTATGGAACGGTATGGAACGGGGTCTGGAACGAAGCGGCCCACTCCAGCACAGCTCTGCCACCACGCAGCACATCTTTATCAAAATTGGCAGTTTGGAGCGAGAGTAGCGCAGCAAGCAATTCTTAGACTGCCAGCTGGCAACAGCCAAGCGCATCTCTACCATCAAACATCACAGCTGTGCCACAGCGGGCAGCAACTGTAAGTGGTGCAGGCGCAAACCTGCCACAGGTTGAGAGGGAGGCCCGGTTACAAGCAATCCATTCTTAGACTGCCAGCCGACAACAGCCAAGCACATCCCTACCATCACACAACAAACGCTGCAGGCACAGACTTGCCAACACAATCACAGGGCTTGGGCATAGTAAACGTATTCTTGCATGTACACACTCATCTATGTATGTGCGCTCAAGTATGCGCGTACAAATGTAAAATCAGACTGCACATATTCTTCAGATATATACATACATATATATATATATTAACGTATAGATCAGAGGTATGGAACAGAGGTATGGAACGGATCCTTCAAGGAGGTATGGAACGGGGGTATGGAACGGGGGTATGGAAGGGGGGTATGGAACGGGTGTGGTCCCGGAGCTTGTTCCGGACCTCCTATTTTGACTTGCACCCATATATATACTTAGTAATTAGTGTTGAGCCACCAAGTGCACCAACCGCACCAACCGAACGCGTTCTCTCTGGCATGCTTGACCAGTGCTGAAAGGAATGGCCTTCAACATCGTAGCAACCTTCAAATAGATAGACAAGTTGGATATAAATATATATATATATACACATGTGTGTCTGGTTTCCTATGTTTTTCTGCTCCTACTCCTCCAAATTTCAAGGAATTGTGTAGAACAATCCTGGAAGAATCCTGCCTTCACATCTGTGCGGGAGATGTTGCGGGGTCGCCGCGCTAGGATCTGAAAGGGAAGGATCCGATCCTGAGAAACTGCAGTTTTTACAGGCAAAAATCGATTTGCACTAGGAAACACCAGGAAAATAAACCAGCAAAAAATATCAAAAAATAGGATCTTGCCAGCAGAACATGTCAAGAAACTGGTAGATACTTTTAGAGGAACCCTGTGTTTGATTTTTTCCCTTGCCATCCCTTGCCAGGAACTACAACTTCCAGGAGTTTCCCAGGTAATTCTGACCATTTATCCACTGCAGGGAATAGTTCTGGCGATCAAACATCATCATCATCATCATCATCATCATCACCATCACCATCATCATCATCATCATCATCATCATCGTCACAATCGTCACCATCGTCGTCATCATCATCATCGTCGTCGTCGTCGTCCTCGTCCTCGTCCGTCATCGTCGTCATCATTTTCTTCTTTTTCTTCTTCTTAATAACACGTTTGAATGTGAATCTGAGAAAAATGATGAACGAACAGCGGTGGGTTCAAAGACACCGACCATCAAAACGCAATGTTTGTGACATGACATGACATGCCAATCCAGTCATTGATCTTGAGGTGTACTTAGTACTTTGGGCTGCTTGGCCCCATATTTGCTAGGGACATGATTAACCTCCAATATGGCCAGTAAAATGAGGGGGATTTCTCCTCTTGCCCTCGTGAATGGTAATGAACAACTTCCGACTTCTAGGCACCAAGGAAATGCCAAGGTCTCACCGCCCTTTTCTCGTAGATCCAATTGGTGATCAACATTCATGAAAGCTTGAAGATGTTCAAGGGACAAATTGGACTTTGGGGTTCCCCGTATTGATGGTGCGTGCCTAGGCTCCCCATCTACGGCCGTTACCTCGCCATCCAAAATGGCTTGCCGGAAGTCCTTGGGCGGGAGGTGACACCCCCATAGGAAAATATGACCAAAATCACCGCAAAGGCTTGACAAGGCTCCAAGGAAAAGTGTTTTTTTCAATTTTGTTCATGTTATCTTTGGTTCGTGTTGGTTCAGTTTGGCCCATGTGCCTGACATTGCCTGACAGTCTTTTTGGGGATCAGTTTCAGGTCATGTTTGATCCAGCTACCATCTGTTTCTATTCCAAACAGACAAGCTTGTTTAAGCCACCAATCTTCTGAAGAAACCAGGTATAATTCAGTATGAGTGGCCGCTTCCAGCTATACCCAAGTTTATCCCCTCATTTGGACTATTTTGAACTGCTAGAACACCCTTGAAATAACGTACTCAGTCACTAAAATTCGTCACTAAAATTCCCATGGGAAACCGCTGGGAAACCGCTGCCAAGGCTCGGTATGGTACTCCAGCAGTGCCTCTCGGATCTGCGGAAACCGCTCAGTGACATCCTTCAAGTTTCCTTCTCCGCTGCAGCTTTCAACTCCCCGCTTTGTCCGGGAAAATGGTGGGAAAATGATGGTGCAGGGGTCATGGGTAAATCAGCGGCCCCAAGCTGGGACATTTGTTCTTTAAATCATCTTATGATCATTCCAAGACCTGAAAGAAGCGGAAAATCCAGTTGATTTCATTGATTTCCTGGTTCCAACATGTTCCTGGTTCCCAAGTGATCGTGAGATATCCTGATTGGATCTGATTGGTGTTGCACCAATACCCACCCAAAAGTGGAAGAACTACAGGCACCAAAAGGGTAGGATTTCAGAAAATCAACACAGATCAACCAAGAAGTCAATAGTCTTTCGACCAAGATTCGTGAAAACAACTGCACCTTCCTCTCCTGCTTGTCCACATGCACCTGCAAACGCTCTCCATCGTATTTGAACTCGGCCCTCCACGGAGCCGTTCCTTTCCTGAGGGTTTGAGAACGGGGTACCAGTATGGCGCCACAAATTTAGGCATGATTTGCATCCCAGCCAATTCCGTCCTTGCATTATTGGTAGTGAGGGCCAACAACAGTTGCCAAAAATGCATAAAGATGCAAGATGCAAGTGGGTCACATCAAATGGAGCATTGATACTAGCGTACAAATTCATAAAGGCTTATATACGTATATATATTATATTATATTATATTATATTATATATATAATAATATATATATATATATTCTATATATATCTTCAGGACCTACCTCAGAATTATATAGGCAGCAGCCAATCCTCCTTTTGGGGGTCTTTTGTGACAGAAGTGAGGCAAGGCGCTGTCCAATCTTTTTACGATGTTTTTTGATTCTTTCCATCACTTCTTCCACGCTTTTGGCCTGGGATCTGCAACAGAATCAACAGAGTCACTCAGATTGGATAAAAACCATGGCAAGAGAACGGAGATCATACCAGCCAATCATAAAGAAAGGCAAAAGCAACGAACTTGGACAAAATACAGTAAAAGGTGATTTCAGATTCCAAATGAGGTGGATAATGTGTTGAACAATAACACACAACACAAGAAAGACAGGAAGACAAATAAGGCACAGGAGATTGACACTGACGTTTGACTCATGAGAGTGGATGATCTATCATGAGATGCAGCAGATGCAAGCAAATGGCTGGAATGGTTAGTTAAAATACCAAATAGAGAAAGACAGAGTGAGTCATAAAAGTTAACATGTAACAACAAGTACGAATATCATGTATATAATTGTATATATATATATGTGTGTGTATATACATATATATATATATATGGATATATGTGTACGCTGCATACCAAATTGAATGCCAGTAGCGCGTGCATAGTATGAAAACAAACAAACTATGAACACCACATCTTCTTACACCCGGCTGCCAAACACTGCACCCCAATCACCCTCCTGAATTTGTGAGGGTTAAACTCTAGTGACTCTAGTGTTTGTTGGTTTAATCCAACGTGTTCTTGGCTAAATCCTCCGTCGTCTGCTTGAACCATGTAAAATCACCATGTTTGTTGTTGCAATCATGTTCAAACAGTGTTGTTTGTTGATCGAACCATCTTAAAGCGCGTTGTTTTAAAACCACGTGAATCACTGAATCACAATAAAACCACCACATTTCCATCCCTTTCCCCAGCGTCCCCTCGTTCACCCAAGCGCCGCTTGCGCGCAGGCCGGAGTGATGGGCGACCAGAGTTGCGCCGCAGGCACTTCCGAGCCGTCCATGGTTTTCAAAGTGTCCACCTGTGACAATGGTGACCAATCTCTGCCTTGCAGTATGTAATACATATGTATGGATGTATCTGGGTAAATTTGAATATTTCACTAATCTGCATTGAAGCAATTTGGGAATCCAGTGAACCTAATGAGGTGTTATAATTTACCCAAATGTATAAATGTATGTATGTAGGTATGTATGTATGCATGGATGTATGTATGTATGTATGTATGTACATATTGTCATCTTGGAGTAGACATGGGCCAGCTGAATGGCTACGATTTGCGCAGAAACATATTAGATGCCCTCCATACGACCCTTTTGCGTGGGCGCCTTTGAACAAACAAGAAAAACATAATCCTTATTTAATTTAGCAGTTTGTTATGGAGAATCACCATGCTCTCTATGGATTCCACAAATGATGGATTTCCCATTTGGAAAATAAAAACCATCAGCAAAAAGCAAAATCAGCGTCAAGCATCATGTATCAGTTCTACCCACTTATACCCCTATCATCTTTGATGGTTAAGAAGTTACCCTCTGGTTATTTCACATAGCCATGGAAAATCACCACTTTTAATAGGTGAAGCATCTATTTCTATGGGCAATGGCTTCCATGGCTAGCCCTGTTAGTCATAACCAGAGGGTAAGACCCAGTCACCATGGAGGGCACTGATCCCACCAACCGAGCGACCACCGCATCGATGTCCGGATTCACCTCTAACAACTCCTGGAAGAATAAAGCAAGAACCATGGGGAAACATGGTGCATCACCCCGTGATGGTGGTGATGATGGTGGTGGTGGTGCTGGTGATGGTGCTGGTGGTGGTGATGGTGGTGGTGCTGGTGATGGTGCTGGTGGTGGTGATGATGGTGATGGTGGCATACCTGAAAAAAAGTGTCCTTTTGATCTTCTAAATAGCTGATGATAAGTTGTTTCTTGCTGCGTGGGATCTGGCCAAAATTTGCCAAAATGCCTGATAATGGTTAACAAGAAGAAAACTTATAGCTTGAGCAGCCCCTTGTGTTGCCAGGGGGGTTGGACCCCTGAAAAAATAACATTAAATTGAGGACCCCAACCCGGGGAACCACGAGTGCTGGACACAAAATTAAGGAGCCAATGAAACAAATGAAGAATAATGATAATGATTATATGATAATATATATTAATATATGACAATATAGAGCAATAGTCAATAGTACAGCACAGTTCTATAACCAAAAAGCTATGGTTCCACATGTCACATATAGCAACGAACATCAACGAACCCCAAAACCCCTGTCGATCCCAACCGCCAGCTCCAGCAGCCGATGCCCATGGGGCACCAATGTTTGCTGCGCAAAGGCCGCCGCTATGGTCTTTTTGGAGGCACCGATGCGAAGGCCGTGGCCCAGCCTGGGCTGAGGGGCCATGGGAACGCACAACAGCTGGGAATGTCGGGAAAATGGTTGGGAAGAAATTATGGGATGCAAATGTTCTGAAAGGTTGGGAAAAATGATGAAAAATGAGTGCCACAAGTAGCTTTCCCAATGGCCAAGGCCAAAGCCTCTTATTGGGAAAATGATTCGGAAAATGATGGTCCTAAATTGAAAATTGTGGCAATAGAACATAACAATAAAAAAACAACGACAATTTTTTGAGCTCCTGGGTTTGCAAATCCAGTTGAAAAGAAATGGATGGTTGACCTGCAAACTCATGGTCGGGTTCTTGGACTTACCATAACTACTCGTCAACCCGTATGGGCAGCACAAAAGTCAGGCCGCGCACTTGGCCCATAAGGGCGCTGAACTTTCACTGAAACCAGTAGAAAAAAATATCTATAGTCTTTGGGCAACCAGTTTAAAAATATATATCTCTCCATCGCCATCTCCAAGAGTAAATATATACATATCATATATATATATATATTATATCTAGTCTTTGGGCTTTAAAATCATACCATACCTGTCAACCTGATCCCACCTGCAAAAGTTGCTCATGGTTCAGAACAAATCATTATCAAACACGTACGTGCTGGCATATCAACACGGATGCTGCTTGCTATTGATCTGCACACTCTTCGCCTGGAATATACCCTCTGGTAATTTAACATAGCTATTGAAAATGGCCCATTTATAGTGGATTTGCCCATTGAAGATGGTGATGTTCCATAGTTGTGTTAGTTTACCAGAGGGTACATACTATAATCATTCACCTGAGTTCTTCGTGGTTTTTTAAAGGGGGCAACCCCTCTGTTAATCAACCAGCCAAGGACATCTCTGCTGCGATGTCGCATCGCCTCTGGGGCTTGTCCACTGCAGGTGATATACAAAAGGAAACCCTCTGTCTTGTGATCACCCCTTTAGACCCTTTTCAATTTCAAACTTCCCATGATAAGCATGTTTTCAGGCAAACCAAGGATTCGTATCCCCAAACTCCCTCAACTGATGACTACCTGGTGGGGATTTATGGCAGGCACCGAAGCTAAATTAAATGGGATCCCGTCACATCCCACGAAATCTATCCCATGAGATCAATATATAGAAAACATCTCATACGTAATCCCAACACATATCCGAACTGTCATAATGATTTGACAATTATCTTCATCCCGATTATCCCTAGAATTCTTCTATCGATTCCTGACAGCCGCAACACCCCAAAAAAATCGGTGAATACTATGGACCCACATTTTTTCCAAGTGACTGCTGGCATAAAAAGTCTCCAATTTAGATGATGGGTCACTAAGTCACTTACCAACCAGTCAATACCTTCCTAACCAACAACTTTTAAATCCCAAATGGATTACTAACCAGTTTAAAACCACTCACCAGCCCGCTTACTAATCCACTTACAGACTTACTACCCAGTGATCAACCAATGGTTAACTCCTGGTTTCTCTCCATCGCCATCCCGGAGGTTCAGCGTCAGCTATGGATAGCAATTCTGATGCTTTCGAATCCCAGGATTCCCTCGTTTTTGGAAGGGGGATCTATATAAAAACTAAAAAATATACATATATATATAATTCGAAATATAATTGTTACCTATGGGGTACGAAAAAAAACTGTATAGATATATATATATATATAATTACTACCTATGGGGTACGGTAAACTAACATGTATGTGGAAGAATCCACCATAAGCAGACCATTTTCCGGTTTTCCATGGGTTTTCCATGGGATTTCCATGGGATTTCCATGGGTTTTCCACATCTTTATGGAGCAGCTTAGGGTACCTATGGATTTCCGCATCCGGCATCCAGGCTTTGGAATGCCGCCCCATGGCCACCAAGCCGCAGCATCCGACAGAGGTACTTGGCACCGACAGCGCCGCAGCGCAAAGTGAGGTCTGCCACCCAGACTTCGCGCTGCTTCACAGCGCCCTGAGATGGGAGAATGGGAATTTAGGGGATACTCTCTGGTAAACTAACATAGCTATTGAAAATCACAATTTTTCATGGGAAAATCCACTATAAATCACCATTTTCAATAGCTATGTTAAATTACCAGAGGGTATCAATGTGTGCTTCCATGAATTTCCATCATGCGGATAAAATATGATGAAATCATTGATTGGGGAAATTTGTATATCAATGATTTTCATCTCCATCTATGAAAATCATGGGGGTGAGATAATTTCCAATCGTGAAATTCGTGAATTGGTTCAAGGGAAATCTTCGCCAGAAACCCAACCAAAGCAATGGGGGTGAATTTGTATGCCCAATATCGACATGAAATGAATTGAAATCTATGCTGCATATATACGAACTATATGTTTTACAAAAACAATGTGGGCTGAAGAAATGGGCCAATGTTTAATGGGATTGAAATGAGATCAGCCCCTGAAATCATGTCTAGTATGTGCTGGTCAAGAAGGTGGTAGTGTTAATTTACAACGTCAGAATTTTAATAATTAGTTTCACCCCAACCAAGTGGGAAATATACAATCATAACCAACAATCTTCCTGAAAAAGGATGACATCAACCACTCAGTGCAGTTCTTCTTGGGGATACTATGGGGGTCTCGTGACAAACAATGGGATAATATAAATCAAGACATTGTTGACACATTGTCTAGGGGATATATTAATATGCATGATCATCAATCTATGAGATCATTATGGGGCATTGATATGCAACATTTGTCTTGGATTTAAGAGAGCCACAAGTTTATAAACCATTAAAACACATTCCCAGGCTCGGTGGATTAACAAGGTTCAATTGGGAACGTAAACATGATCTTCAGCAATACAGTCTAACTAGAAGGGGTTGCCTGACTCTTTCCGTGCATTTGTTGGTTTTGCCCTCTGGGAGACTTGGCCCACCTTTTCTGAACAGGATCCCGAGTGGACACTATCATGAACAAAAGTCAGCAGTTTACCATCTACAAATGGAAATCCTTGATATAATCAGATGTGAAGTGCTAAACTCAGTAAAGTGGATCCATTTGGGGGTATGGTTGCTATTCTCACGTTGTTATTAGGGTCTAGCATATGCCTAGCCTATATATAATACATACTTGCGTAGTAATCATACATGTTCTATACATGCTCGCGGGGAGTTTGAGAGATAGTCTCTGTAGTTACACATTCATTTATATGGCCTTTGGACTTTGATTGTGTCTTCTTGTGGCTGGACATGTGTTGACATTTGCTGAGCCATGCCAAGCAGCATGCATCATGTGTACAAGCCAAAAGTGGCCACAAAATATTCGGTTCTTTCCACCCGAGTTCCACTCGGGCCTTGCTTTCCACGTCGCTAATCTTCAGCAAATCCTGTCCACATTCAACTGTCATTGAAGTGATGTGCTTTGTCAGTGTGGACTGCCAAAACAAGAGTACCGTAGCTTTTTCAAATGGATGTTTGATGATACTTCATGATATTTGGATGGCAGTTTGCCTTTAGAACTTTCAATTTACGTCTGCTATTGTTACGTGCTATTGTTATTCTGCTCTCGAAAACGTCTGACACCTGCATCATCATGCATCCAACTGCCAACAGTCTCAGTGCAAGCCTCAGGCAGACCCCCTTCACTTGGACACTGGCCCCGGCCGGTGCCTTCCAAACCTGCGTCAGCTCATCTTTTTGGGATCCCTTTGGACTTTCCTTCTTCAAGAGCCTTTCCTTCTTCAACAGCCTCGCTGGCCCAGCCATTAGCCGACACCCTTGTGGTGGCGAAACACCCCGGAAAATCGATCCTGGGACTGGGGCTATCAAAATCCAGGCAGAGCTATCCACATGTCATTCATTACCCGACCAAGGATGGAAAATATTGGACAATTGAAAATCGGTCCGTCTATCTGTTGCCCATCATCCATCATCATCCACTCAGAGATGCAGAAATGTCACGTGCACCTCTGGTAACCTTCTCCAACATCTGCCACAGAGCCCTGCAGCAGCCAGTGATTCAGCTGCTCCTCCGAGAGACGGAAAAAAAGTGTGGGTGAAAGTGTCCATGAATCTTATGTGCCATGGTCATAACATGTCATAACTGTTCATTCTCTATCCTAACTAATTTAATATCCGGAAGACTTTTGAGGCACAGACTTTGAAATCTGTTAAGTTTCTGAGATCTGAAAGTTGGGGGGAATTGTGTTCATGGCTAATCAATCTGGGTGCCTGAAAAACAACTCTCTCTTTTCTAGCCCGGTAGCTTCCTCCATGTATTGCCATGCCTGAGCCCCAGAAAGGCTGCGGGCTGGCGATAGATTCTGTGAGCAGGCGAGCAATAGTAAAGAAATGGTCACATATGGTCACATACTGTCAATTACTGTCACATCATGTGCATGATAGGCGAGGCGTCAACTGTGGCAAGGAAGCCAGAACCAAAATGAGGAATTCACAAATAATTACCCCACTTGGGGATGCAGCTGGGACTATAGATAGGCTTGACCAGGCGTATGAACACCATAGATTTGGGCCTTTGACCCCCTCCAACTATGGCGACAAATACATACTTTTCATCCACTGGAACTGCGCACGAGCAGAACCCACTGGTTTCCCCTTCTGAATGCCCAAGAATCTCCCAGATATTTGCCATGTCTTGCTCGTTCACCATCATGTTTCTAGCTCAATCAATTATCCCTAAGGGAAACCTGTAAAAATCATGTCAAATTCCATCTGTCCTGTCTTGGGCTTAATATAAACCCGGGGAGACTCCCATGTCTATGGGTGAAATCACCCTTTTTGCTCAAATCCCGATTTTTTTTGCCCCATGCGTGCTGCTGTACCTCCCCATTTCTGTTTTAACATTGAATCAAGATTGATCAAGCAACAACAGTAAGAAGAAGACCCACAAACCAAACAAAAAAAACAAGCAAAAATGAGTCAGTGGCATGCACATTCTTCTTCGGATTTTAAAGAAGGGAATCATCTGCTTTCAACGGATTGATGTAAGGGAAAATCTTGGCCGCCAGAAAGCACGGTGTTTGCCAAATTTGTTGGGGAATTTTGTAGATTTTGCCGCCGATTCCGGGATCCTTGGGTTTCTTCGTACTGTTCAGCCCCAGCTTATCCGCCGCAGCAATCAGCAGAGCAGTACCCACCTAGCGAGGCGTCCACGGTGTCAATCAACCCGGAGTCCAGTAGCTTGAAGAATGCACATGTTAACCAATTCAATGTATCTACACGGAGATTCACAAGGACACAATGATGCATATGTGTGTAATACGTAGGTGCTATCTTTATTTGTCTGTCTATCTGTCAATCCATCCCTCCATCCATCCATCCCTCCATCTATGCATCTACCGTCATCTACCTACGTATGCATCCATATCACACACGTAGCAATACCCCCCAAATTGGCAAAGTAACCTATCACTAAAAGAGTGAACTGAGTGAACACGTATAAAACGTTTCCATCTTTGATCACCTTTGGATCCTTTGGGAGGGAGTTGCATGAAACAAGCCACCAGTCCGGAACCCCCATGGTTCACCTGTTTGAAAACGCCCAGCCTGGGTCCTCTTCATGTGGCCCAACAGCAGTTTCAAGGCACACTTCATCTCTTCCACATCTTTGATACTGCGAAAGATTGTCCTCGGCCGGCTCAGCAAATCCAGGAAAATCATCCCATCTTTGATGCTTAAAATCCATTAAAATCGACTCAAAATCAGCCAGATCATAGTATGAATGATAGATTTTGATTTACTATACATGCTTAGCTGCTGATTATTGTGGTATATATATATATATTATGCATTATTCAGTGAAATATTCAGTGATATAATACATTATAATACAAGAATACTATACTTCAGCGAATCCAGTGAACGTCAATAGTTGATCATATCTAATCAATCATTAATGATGACCAACTGTTCATTATCATGGTACATCATTATTATGCAATATTATACAATAATAATAACAATAACAATAATAGTTGGTTGCCAATCATAAATATATATTGTAGTACATCATAGCATTCTCGTTGATTACCAATCGCTATTCACTATTTCATTGTTGTTGATAATCAGTGTGATCCATAGTTATATGATCCGTAGCATTGCCATTAACAATATCATGATCAAAAGATATCCATATGGTCATTATCATTATATATATATACCCTCTGGTTATTTAACATAGCCATGGAAAATGGCCCATTTATAGATGGTTTACCTATTAAAAATAGTGATTTTCCATGGCTATGTTAAATAACCAGATGGTGTATATATATATATTTATTATTATTATTGTGATTATTATTATTATTGTTATTATTATTATGACCCTCTGGGTCAAATCAACGGTTCAACCCTGGAGAGAGGCCCGCTTTGAGTGGTTTCACTCATCTTCCCTATCCAGAAACTAGGGTCGTCATGTGGATTTGCTGAAGGCTACCCTCTGGTAAACCAACATAACTATGGAAAATCACCCATTTTAGTAGGTAAATCAACGAACTAAACAGGGAAATCACCATTTTCACATATTGTCACAAGGTAAATCACCATGTTCAATGGGTAAATCACCATTTTCACTAGGTAACTGTAAATCAACGAACGAAATGGGTCATGTTCAATAGCAAACTGTGAGTTCTCCGGAGGACCCAGGCCAAGGCACGTGAGCTCCACCTTCTTTTGAGCCACTGCACCGTTGCCGCGCGCCTGCGCACAGCGCTCCAACACCTCCGCCATCTCCGAGAACCTGCGTCCAGGAAATTGGAGCCTTCGAAAGGGTCAAAATCAGGAGTTTTAATCGGGAAAATTGGTGAAAATTGGCCGGAGATGAGAGTTGACCAAGCAAAATCAGGAGTTAACATGAGTTGAGCAACAAAACAATACATTTGATCAGCAAAAATGTATAGATTTTATCAACAAGAGCCGAGGGCTTACTGTCAAAGTAAGAATGGGGAGCTGCGCCAATGACGACTAACTCACAAATGCAACAGATGTGGAAATATCCTGCTGCTGGTGAGGACCAGGAGGAGGATGGTTTTTACTGACATAAACAAGAACTTGAATGCATGTTCGATAATTGTCATATATATATATATGCAGCACATATCAAGGATATTACATAAGCGCAAGCAACCAAAAATTGCACTTGCAGCAAGTCGATCTGCATTGCCAAGAATAAGAATGGCAGTGACATTCACATCTTAACCGGTAGGAACGTCATCTGTGTATAGGTTAGGCCACAGAATCTGCATCCATCCCGGCAAGCCCCGGAATTTTCTCCTCCAAAAACATGGTGACAGCGCTGTGAGGATGGCGTGTATGTCCATTCTGAAATAGGGATGAAAATGGAATGTGCTCAAAACCTCATGTTTTTGCAAGTTTGGTTGGGGATGTATTGATTGAAGAGGCTTAAAGTCATGGAAGGGTCACCGAGGAAGTTGATTTCGGGCAACCCTCGCAGCACTTTAGGCACTTATTTTTGTTAAGGCTGCGCGTGGGTCACGTTTCAAGGCTTGAAGTTGGAACAAAGTGACCCAAGACACTTCCACAAAGGTCCTTTTGACATTCGTCTCCAAAACCAGGCGTATATAATATAATATATATATATGTCATCATGCTTCCGCATTGTCATATCAACTGAAGAACGGTTCTTTAGTGTTTCACCTCATAATTTTCCTGATTTTGCTGGTGAACTGGGACTGCGTATGTTTCACCTGACAAAGTATTCTTTGTGTGTTGTGTCAACTTAGCGTAGCGGCGTAGCATCAAGTAGATGTGCAAGTGCAAGCGAAGACATCTCTGGCGTAGCATCAAGTAGCTGTGCAAGTGCAAGTGAACACATCTCCAGCGTTGCATCAAGTAGATGTGCAAGTGTAAGTGAAGACATCTCTAGCGTAGCATCAAGTAGGTGTGCCAGTATACTTGAACGTTAATGCCCCAGCCCCACCCCGCCCCACCCCTCCCAACAAGGACACGCGCACGCCATCCACGAGGCGCTGTCATCAAAAACATATCACTTTTTTTTTAACTATATAATGATAATTGATAGTCTATATAATTGCAAACCATTGAACCATCACTCAACCACCAATATATACATCATATTATTATTCGCCCTGAAAAAAGCAGCACGAACAATCATATCAAACCCAAAAACTGGATCAATTACGTACACTATACATACACGAACAATTAATTACTACAAATCTGGACCAATGAATTACTGTACATACTATAATTCACCATTATAGTACGTCACCATTATAGTACATCATGATAGTAAGCCACTATAATTCACCATTATTATTGGTGATAAGAATGTGGGTAAAACAAAAATAAACCATTCCCCAAATCACCATTCTTATAGGTGGTATGGTTACCATTCCCAAATGGCTGGTTTATGGCATTGTTTTTTCCGACATTAGTCACTATTAACATCTATAAACCACTATTAACCATTATTCACATCTATTGACCATTATTAACATCTAGAAACCACTATTAAACCATGATTTACATGGTTTTACCATGTGTTACCCACATTAAACCATGACACTACTCCACCCCTTCCGGTTGCCCATTTTGCTCTGGCCTCGTGGCGCGCGTGGCGCGCCGCGTGGCAGCGCGGGACACAGGTTGGAGCGCCCCGAAGCAACGCAGCGCTCTAAGCGGACCATGGGGTCCATGCAAACCTGTTAGGTAGCAACCCCCGAGGCACGGTCGCCGATATTTATTTTTTGGGATGCTACAAAAACACCATCATGGTTAGATTAAACCAATGGTTCATCATAGTATGTTTTCTTTTGACAATGGGTAACCATGGTTAATATACAAAAAACAATACAAAAAAAAAAAACATCAGATTTCCGGGTTTCCAACTTTTTGATCTTGGATATCTTGGGATTGCTATCATCTTATCATCTTCGTATTTCAGCCTAGTACTTTGATGTACTTTGTATGGATGTATTTAGCCATTTTGCAATATGTGTAATTATAGGTGGTTCCAACTCCGCTTGAGAGTCAACCTCCACAAAAGGGAGAAACCCAGTCTCTTTGCACAGGTCAGTTGCTCAAGTTTGGAGAATCTTCCAAGACCTCTGAATTTATGGAACAATTCAGAATTTCCAGAAGCTTGAAGCATTGCGCGGGGTGCAAGGCAAGATCTTGTCTTACAGAGCCTACATCTACCGGTAGCTGGTAGTTTCTTTCCTTGAAGGGGTTGGTCGCATACTTGGGACCCTGCAGCCCAGAAATCTGATCATCTTTCGTATTTTAGCCATCTAGATTTGGGAGGCAAAAAAAACCATACCAAGCTACCAGATTCAAGTTTTACGTCACATCAGGACTAAAAAGACATGTCCGCCAGACTGCCAGTGTGGAGAAAACGATGGATACAAAGGGAGCTGACTGAAACAATTGGGACCTGAAATCATGCCAGTCATGCCCTGAAATCAACCTTTGAAATCAAACATCAATATTTTCGAATGTCTTTTGCCATTAATAAATCATTAATCAATGCCTTGCCCATGTCATGGACGCCGCCCCCATGGACACCATGCAACCGCTGAAGAACACGCCGCAAGCCCTGGAAGGACGGACCCCCGGTAACGATTGGTTGCGTCAGGTTGGATCAAAGGCCCCATGAATATGCTTAATGATGACAATGGCTAATAAATAATGTTTCGTGATGGTTAACAATGGCTAATAATGGTTCATAATGGTTAATCATGTGGTAGAATAACTACTTCAGATTCATAATTATCAATGGCTACTGGTGGTTGCTAATGGCTGGAAATGGATGGAAATGGGATAAGTAAGATTAATGATGGTTAATGTTTAATAATATGGTTAACAACATGGCTAACAATGATGAATAATGGTGAACAATGACAACAATAATGGTTGATAACAAGTGCTAATAATGTGTGATAATGGCTAATTACGGTTTAGAATGGCTAATAATAACTAGTGATGTGAAGACAATGGTTCACAATGATTGATAATGATTAATAATGATTAAAAACTGTTAATAATGGCTAGTAACGGGGATGTTTAATGGTGATACCGATACCCTCTGGTGGTAAATTATTATAATAATGATGATAGATTAATGTGGTTGATTGTTTGGATAAATGGTAGCAAAATCAATTATCAACAATGTTTATGAAATATTAACATGATCCAGGATCAACCTTTGATGAATTAACATGATCTGCAATCCACAATATTGTTGCTAGTATTGTGTGTTGACTGTGGGATTATTGTTTGAAGATATTTTGGGTTTGTGGACTATGTTTTTTTGTCGCTTATATATGTGAAGCACCATAATCACCAAAAAAAACGAATCATCAACTAACATCGTCATATCTCTACTGGCGGTGTTGAACTCCCCGTTTAATTGATGTTCGTCGATGGGGATCATCATCCAGAATATGGTTAAAAAATGGTGAACACAAAGAATATAAACACAAAGAATCTTTGAAACATGTTGAAACAACCAGTCAATTAATATAAAGTTGGATATAAATCAATATCAATAAGTCCTCGGTTCCCAGATTTGGATGCCATTATGGGGATGAAATCATGTTAAAACTTATGGCTCACCATATCTTGGGGCCCTTGGGGGGATGAACATTCATGTTCCAGCTATTTTATGTTCACCAGAGTACTTATCAGGCTGAGACCCATAGCCACACATAGTTGCAAACCGAGAGGCTTGGACATACTGAACAACCCCAGCCATGGTGGATGTAGGGGATAGAAAACACCAAATTTGGAACCATAGAATGGATGTGTTTAATATGAACCGGGGATGGGATTATTACCTCAAAAACATACTTTGGTTGCAACTTAGACAAAATGGTCATGTGACCAGAAGATGATTTTGCCGGATTTTCACCATCCATTCAGTTGGATGTGTCTGCAAAGGACTGAAAACCAAATAAATCAAATATCAAACCATCTTTCCCGCTAAAAAAATTGGCATCATTTGGGATCATGGTCGGATTTTCTGGGTGTTCATGATCTTGGATTTGCAACAGCCCGGTTGCGCCCCAAAAAAATGCCAATTTCATCGACTCAGAAAATCCGAGATCGTCAACCAACCAATACCAACCATCAAAAGATGAGTTACATCCACTTAAAATTCATGTTAAAATATAAGTTACTTATAAAATATATATGTTCAATATGTGATATTTATTATGTTACATCATTATCAGTTACTTCTCATGTTCGATGGTTGAAATTAAAAGATGTTAAAAACCCAATCATCGACTAAGAAAAAAAAAAGGTAATGATTTGATTACCAATGATCAACTACCGATGTTTGACATATTGTCATGTACTTTATCAAACATATAAATTCCAATTCCAAAGTTGTCCAAATTCCATGAGTCTTCAAGTACATCATGATTTTGTTGCTATTTGTTTAGTCAATCATATAATGCTATACCTATATGTGTTATCCAAATTAAGTTATCCAAATTTATCCATATAATGCTATACCCTATATGCTTTCATATAATGCAAATCCAAGTTATCCAACTTCCAAAAAGATCCGTCGTTGCCTTCAGCCCACCCAGGGCCTGGGGCACGCCACGACGGTCGCCGCACAGATCGCCAGCCGCGGCACGAATCGACCGCCCAGGCGATTCAGTCGACATGGCGGCATGACATGTGGGGCGTGCAGAGATGCGGTGGGTCACCGGTGGTAGTGCTTTCTTTGGGGCCATAAGCCACTTGAATTAACTCACTTATAACATGTTATGAATGGGATAGTCCAGGAAGTTTTTGGATGTACAGCTATACCCAACATCCATAAATGGGATGTGCCCCAATCAAGGATGGGACTTACTGACCAAGGAAGGAATCAGGGATAGCCCAATGTTTGTCACCCACTTATGGGACTATGGGAAAAGCCAGGAATCGGGGATCGCGTAATACCAAATTGCTATGGGAAGAAATTCTCACCAAAACAATTGTTCAATGTATCTAGTACAGCTATAATAACCTATAAACTTTTGAAACCACTTGCTTTGGGTCTTGGGAAAGTCTTAGTTCTTCTAGTTGTTCTTAAATTGACATTTCACACCAGGCACAACACACACACACATACATCCAGGGTTCAAAGTGTTCAAAACTTGTGCCAGGGTTCCATGGGTTTTGCGGCTCCGTTGGGACGGGAAAAAAAACACAAGAGCCTTGGCAGAAAGCCTTAAACTTCTCAAATCCAAACTATTCCAAGGGTTTGAATGGTTTGGATGGAGTTTTTGGGTTGTTGAAAAAGGCTTGAAGTTTCATATTACAGAGTGGTCCAGGTGCAAATAATTCTGTCAGCAGTGCTGGCTCTCTGTCGTCCAGTGGACTTGATTGATATACTTCGGCCATGGCTGCTGACAGGGGCCATCAGAAGCTCTCTGGAAACAATTAAGGTCAAGGTCCATCTTTTGTTGCCTTCAAATTTGAATACATTAACTATATTTAAAAATTAAGAGTTGGTTTATAAATCCGTCCATTAACTTGCCCAATGCTGATATGTGTGCGCCCTGTTGACGCCTATGACTTTCTTGGGGGACACCGATATCCACATTGAAGCATGCACTACCGGGATCTACCGGGGGTACGTTGGCCAATGGCTGCAGCATTCAGCGCAAGGTTTCTTTCATTTTCTTGCGCTGACGGCAAGTGCGAATCACAACAACATTCAACAAGTTCAGATACATGATGGTACAGTAATTGATGGTAAATGTATAGCGGCCTTCAAAAAAGATACAAAAGTACTTCTGCTGGATGGTATGGATGATGTGTTCCCCATAATTTCCAGCTTCCAACTTGATCCAACTTGTCTATCTTTTTGGGGGCTGCTATAAAAATAAAGTGGATATGACTTCTAGACCCCCGAACCGTGCGCTTCGGAACACGTCGTTTGTGGCGACCTAGACCCCAGCTTTTGAATCCTGGACACCTTGGCGAATACTGGATGGGATCATCCTTGATGCCACAGTCAGACTTAACATGATGTAACATGATGTAATCTGATATGTAAGTAGCAAAAAAACATCAAAAACATGGCCCTGGG